AATCGAATTACTGAAATAAATTAACTTGGTCATGATATTCTAATTTATTGAGATGCACCTGTATTGTATCGTAACTATAGCGGTTACAAACATTTCATGTTCAAAAAGGTTAAACAGATATATGGTCAATAAAAACAAAACATACAGTAACAGTTTAGCCAGTTTTAATAGTTTTAAAACACTTGGTTTGGAAAAAAGTACAAAAGTGATCCTGGACGCCACAGTATGAAACCAGCCCAATAATGCAAGGTGATAGATGTGTTCCTTTAAAAAGCATCTTCTACAGACAGGTTAATTTCAACTGGCCTCACCATACACATACTGTACTCACTAAAACAGATACAAGCAATAGTTTAAATACAATGGCTGACCCCGGAATACATTTACAAGTGATTCTTAAAAAACTAATTAAAAGGGGGAGGGGAGAAGTCTGACCACAATGCCAACCGGTGTCTGGCAGTAAAATCATGCAGTATTACAATCGTTCCACTAAAGAGAAACAGCAAAGCACTACAGCTGTCACACAGTGAGAAAGAGGGCAGCCAAGAGGTGTCTCTCTACCAGACAGCCTTTCAAAGTGTTCATTGGTTGATTTATGAATTGTTACTGAGAGAGTTCTCTATTGTTGAGCAACAGCTCAGTGGTCACCCATCCCACGTTTGCATACATTGTAAAGTTGTACAGGGTCTCCATTAAGGAGAACTTGTCTTCCACAATCAATTTAGAAAAATATAACTAATTGCTATTGAAGAAAACCCCAAAATGTGGGATATTCTCTTAGTAGGTTGTGAGGAAATAAAAAAGCTAAGAAATACAGTTGAATAAATAAATTGCATGACATCCATAAAAATGACGTGGATACACTGAGTCGACAGAATGCTATCCACATATGCACACCATGCTTTTTGTTTTGGCCCGGCAGTGTTAAAAATGAGGGCTCCATCCTCCATCCAAAGTCACGTCCTATGATCCAGTGGAAAAGTTGCCATAAAATATCTAAAATATGTTGACATTTAGAGAAAGGTTTCTTTGATTCAACAACTGATTTCCATGTACAACATGGTTTCTGAATTTACCAATTAAGAAATAATCGATGTTGATGGCAATGAGGAAACACAGGAGGGAGACTTTCACAGTGTTACAACAATGAAGCCGCTCTGTGTTGTTACCCGCTGGTTGGCCTATTGTTAGGGCAGCAGCAGTGAACTTCCTGTCCGGTCAAACTTTTTTCCTTTCGAGAGGGCAGCCACTTGTTTCATCAGCTCCCTGTTCTTGGACTGTGGAAACAAATGATTTACTGTGTTAGAAACTGATGCACAGTCCTAAACGCCTTAGTGGAAGCATTTGTGAAATCACAATGTCCATGTGCATTGTGATTTACATTAAATGTGTTATGTGTTATATGTTTAATGGCAGCAAACGCATTAGCTGGTTTACATACAGTCTCAAAACATTGACTTTTATTACGTACAGTACCTATCATTCATTCAATCAACTGCTGACTGTACTGATAAAAACACCTTTGCTACATAAAACACGGAGCATGCGAGCTACAGAGTCACACTTACAAAACGGCAATCATAATAAAAAAATGACAGAGAGAGAGTTTGACAGGAAATGGCAAAACTGGTGCACCTATCGTATCCATAACGACCGGCTGCAAACTTATGCAACAAGTGACTCATCTATGTATCACACTGTTGCATATATGGAACACGGGCACAATATTAGACCCCTAATAATAGTACGACATGGTTTTAAGTACAAATGAAAGTTGTACTTTGTGGGCAGGATTAAAAAAAAAAAAAAGATATATTAGTGATGATTATATTACCATACCAACAGTTGGACTCTAAACATCCTCCGCCAATATGACTTCTTACAAAGTAGAAGTTATTAGATTAATCAACACACCAACGGTCCATTAAAAACTGGTGTGAACTTGATGTGACGTGTTCATATATGCAGTCTCCTACCTGCTGTTGCTCCATAGACTCTTTGTGCGACTTCTCCATTTGGTTCATCTTCACTCTCATGTTGGACTCCTGATACTGGAAGTCTGCTTTGAGCTCTGTGAGCTAGACAGGAATTTATTAATCAGTATGACAAACAAATACAAGCAACCAACAGTGATACAGCTTTGACTCATTGGAGGCGAACCTACCTTTCGGTCCTTCTCTAGAATGGTTTGATCCCTTTGCTGCAGAAGTCTCTTCAGTGACATCACTTCCTCTTTCAGCTGGCTGATGAGAATGAAGTTGTCTGTTCCTCCAGAATCCATGGACTGGGTGATGGAACTACTGATGGGAGAGAGGAAAGAGCGTGACCCCAGTACTCAGGTGAGAAATCAACACGTAAACAAAACTGGACACCTAATGCTTCCCAAAACAATTACAGCACTTATTGTACCTGTCCCCGTTGGATGGCTTCATCTCCAGTTTTGGTTTCTTCTTTGGAGTCTCCTTCTGGATTGAAGACGATTTATGGCTGCAAAGAAAACAAAATGTTCAATTTGGGCCTTAAAACTCCACACAAGCAACATTGTTGTATGTATATTAAGCAGTTCAAATGAGAGAGAACATTTTACCTCTGCTTCCACAGTCCCTGCTCCTGCTCAGGACTCAAGCTCCCACTCAGTCTGTCGAAGATAAGTTAGCTGTGAGTTGACTGGGTCTACTTTTAATCACCATATAAAAGGCATAAAACACAAATCTTTTCACTATTCTGTGTCAAAAAAGCAACAGCCTGACTGAGTGGCACTGGGACTGTGAGAGGGAGAAGTGACACAACAGATTACATACTTGTGATGAGAACTGCTGTGTCTGTGTTGGTGGTGGTGGTGGTGATGGTGAGGTCTGGAGTGGTGATCTTTCTCGTTCAGGGATGAGGAGTTGGAGGATCCAAAGCCCTTCCTCTGCTCCTTGGTCTTCTGCAGGACACGGCGGTAGGACAGGGTACAGAGCCAGCACAGCAGTTTCCCGTCCACCTGTAAGACAGGTAGGAGACAGTAAGTTCATAACACTCGCTGTGACACATTCACTGTCACATTGGACTGTAAGTGTGTATGGTTCATACCTTTCTCCTGCCCTCCTCCTTACGGTCAAAAGCGCACTGCTGTTTGCACTGCTCACAGGTCTGTGGAGGTCCATATTTCTTCTCTGAGTTGGTACAACGCTGGCACTTTGTCCCGATGAAAGCTGCAATGATGTTACAGTACTGGCAGGGTTTGGGCTGTAAAGACAGACAAAGGACGCATGATGTGCCTTCAAACAAATGTTCACTTAGTGCAACTTGAATCAGTAAATACAACTGCAATTAAAACTGGCCCGGGAAATAAAAACCACGAAAAACTTGATACTCACTGTTCCAAACTGTTTGACGTTCTGGGCACATTTTTTGCAGATCGTATTTGTTTTACTGTAAAGAAGAAACACATTTACAATCAAAACAAAACATAAAATGCAAAGAAACCCACTATATTATAAACAAAAGCTGAAGTTCAGGTGCACATATCTCACCTCTCCTGCTGAAACTCAGACCTGCAGTATGTGCACTTCACTATTGGATGTGCGATGCGACACTCCTGTGGTGACAAAACAGAGGAATGTCAGTGCTATCTGAGCGTCTGTCAGCAGAGGCAGACAAGTAAATTGCACAATGGACACACCAGAAATCAAGACTGCCTCATAAGTTGTTGTGTACATCAGCACAACTTGAAGTTTGTTGTGCAACACCTCTTGGCTACAACATCTATGGAAAACACCCGGCAAGTAAATACTGCACTGACTTGTATCTGATTTGGTTAAGTCAACCCAACACATTATTATGGTTAGGCTGAGCAGGGTGGGGGAAATAAGCACTATTAACTGGAGGAAAGAGCTCTCTTAATATCTCTAAATCCTTGATATAGACAAACAAACTGTAATTGCATTCATCAGTTGACCTTGTGCAAAGAAACGTTGCAGATAGAAACTTCTCTAAAGCCCAGGAGGGACATTTACAGAGATAACAATGTCCATTTTGTAAAATAAATAAATAACATCAGTGCAGACTAACCGTGAAGAAAAAAAATAAAATAAAAGCGGGAACAGACGGCTTATTAGATGATTAAGGCTCAAAGATTGTTCTCCTTCATTATAAACCTGTTCCTCGACGGCACACTCAATTCTACATTTAAAGCTCCGCACAAGCAACAAGTTGGCGAGCACCGTGTGTACATGAACGGGAATCATCTTAACGCCTCACAAATTAACATCCACCCGGTAAAGACGTGATATAAACGTGTTAACACTCTCCAACAAACACCGTGGCCGCATGCAACGAGCCGAACAACAGTGCAGTTGCGCGTCCAGGTTGGAAAGATAAAAGCTTGTTACATAACCTGATCCTGCCTAACATCACATCCAGTCGGTAATAACACCCGCTCGGTCGTCCTCAATCACACACACACACACATGAATACCTTGCACAGCTGCTGGCCCTGCGACAGCTCCTCGAAGGGGTACCGCTGGTTACACTTCGTACAGGCGTACAGAGCCGACGTTGCCATTCTCTCGCCCAACTTAATGTCACCGAGCTACAAGAGGTTAGCGGAGTCCAGCTGCAAACCCAACGGATTAACGGCGCTATTTCCTCTCCAGCCGTGTGCTAATTGAGAACTAAGAGCACACACACACACATATACACACCACCACAGTGTTGGCATCCAGCGCTAGCTAACGTTAGCTGGCTCGGCTAGGTAGGGCAACACAGAAATAGCTTAGCTGGAGGGAGAAGGCGAAGAACAATAACGTTAAACTCCAAATCTCTGTGGTCTTCTCTCTGCTCCTGCGTTATCCAGCCAGACCGACTTGAGGACGATCGTTATTGATGTCGCCACTTAAGCAATACGTCCATTAGGATGTGGATATTTGTGTTAAGTTTCCACTGTGCTCGCCAAGAAAGCTATTTTCCTGTTTTCCTTCTCTCTTTTTGTATCGACGCCGTCGTCGTCATGTAACCGGAAGTGGCCGAGAGCTCCAGAAGAAGAAAGGAAACCTATCGCGACACAACATCCGTCCGCGGGATTCACATTTTAAAATGCGCGGAGCCAATCACACGTCCGCATTCACCCAGCACAGCTCCGCTTTATCAACAATCTCACGCAGTTTTTAACTAGTTTGGTCAAAAGTAACCAATATAATAATTAAAACGTCACTCGTACAGGCTGTGGATGTTATTATTCCGCCCTGTTTGTCTTGTTTTGTGTCTTTTAATGTGTAATTTAACATATTATCCCCATAGCAACCAACCATGCTGCAGTAGAGTCAGTAAGGTCCTGGGGCCCTACACTGTCGGCAGCTCTGAAAGTCACAAGATAATCACAAGTTACAGGATACATTGGCAACATCTCTCATATTATACAACATGTGGCCATGTAACGTTAGGTAAAATAATCATTAATAAGAATAATTAAAGGCCCCGAAACAAAGTTTGGCCTTTACCAACAAAATATGTTAGAATAATGTAGTGTATATGGTCATACTAACAATGGTCATTTGAAACTCTGAAGTTATTAAATCTTACATCTGAAATTTGTGTAGCATTTCAGTCAGATTTTCAGAAGCAGGTTATTAAATGGCTCATTATTATAATTTATTTATTATATTATGTTATAATCTATTTATTATAATTTGTTTTAATTTCATATCACATGCATACATGAACATCAGCATTTGATGTGTTTCTCAACTGATCATAAACTATCAATCTTTTATTTTACATCTGTGTAAAGAACCAATTAGTCCTTTGTATTATAACATCTGTCAACTATCTCCCGGCAGATTTTTGAGGCTGATACCAATATTGAGAGAAAATTCGATAATGATATATCAGATTTTTTACACAACCTATAACAAACATTGCCACCACAAATGTACTGGGCAGGCTGTTTACAGTTATAATACAGTTATAATGTGTCCCTACTCTCTGGTGGATGAAGTATAGAATGGTGACACCATTTCAAAACAAATTTCTNNGGTTGCCATACACACCAACACAATAAAAAAACAGACTTAAAAGTTTGCTACATAGCATATCAGAACTTTTATTAATTGAACATATTTATACAGTTTGACATTGCTTTGTTCTGTTCTGAAGCAATGAAGTGCATACAGCACCGCAGCGTCACTTTGACTGTGTGCAAATATGGTCACACTTTAATAGCTGTACATTTTTAACCGGAGAGTAATTCAATATAAGTGGCAATGCAAATAAATTTTAAGTAGGCAAAAATTAAAAACAAAAGTCAAGGGAATAATAATAAGTCTATTAATGAGTAAAGGATGCCTTACAGCCAATTTTAGGCTAGTCATCTAATATTTATGTACGTGACTTAAACAGCTTGAATGTGACTGTGCTAATATTTTCAGAGCCATTGCAGTCTAATATTACTCTCCAGCACAGTCACACTGTAAATTCCAGACTTTTAAATCACTTTCATATTTCTTCATTTACACTAAAAGGCACTCTTTGTTTCTCATACTATGGCAAGACCATATTCATAATCACAGATGATTAATGCTAATGTCACTGAGGTTCTGCTACCGTTTGCAACCCTAATTGCTAAAATTAAGAAATAGACTGGAGGGTGTTGTGATCACCCCACGTTAATGTGACAAACCGTACTGACTCCGTGAACTTGAGTCCTGTGTTTATTGCAGAAGAAAGTCCTTGGCATTTAAAGACTGTGCACACTTTTATTTTGTTATTCTCCCAATCAGTCATTCAGAGCAAGGCACAGATATTCATTCAGATTCATTAAAACTAAAAAGCAAATTATTAGTTGTCACACATTCTGGTGCCTATAAAAAATAATATTAGCCGATATTAGCTTTGAAAAGCGTCTATAGAAATGTTCACACGCAAACATTTTGAGTAAATGATTATTAACTGAGACAAATTAACTATTGCATATTCTGTGTTACTTATTAATATTGCATGGGATCTCTACTGACATGAGACAAAAGTGTGTTTGTGAGCCATAAATACAAGGACGAAAAAGTATAATAAATAATGTTAACTAGTTAGAAAAATGAAACTTACAAAACTGTACTCACTCAATGAGAGGAATGCCATACATGACGCATTATATATTCATAAAAAAAAAACTGATATTTGGTCACAACAATCTAAAAGCACTGACTTCTGAAGACAACCCGCTAACTGTCTTTTAATGCACTCTATGACTATCTTTCGTCACTATTAGAAGAAGCTAACATTACAGCCCTTTAGCTACATTTCTGAATATTTAACAACTCCAGAGCCATTTAGTTGATTTTAGTACTACAGGTTTGAACTCAAAAGCAATGTACATCTTCAAAATTGCTTCAGCTGTATTGCTTTCAAATCAATATCTAAGCAAACATTTGCAGTGTAGAGGAATAAAATGAGTGTTCCTATGAAGTGTATAAGGCATATATATTTTACCCGTGTGACATTTTAGTGTATTTCAAAAACGTTCAACACTGATTGTAGGTATGTCGATATGCTAAACAGTACTCTATGCCCCCTCAACCATGGAGTACAATATGGCTGTAGTTGCAAGCAGACTCTACAGTAATCTGCTTACTCAGACTTTTGGTGGTAGTGTATTAACGCAATGTGTCACCCAAAGAGGCAGTTTGGTGCACAGGTCCTTCATGTGGCCTACTGATTACTAATGTATGGCACCTTCTCACAGGTAGGATTCAGTTTTCGCGACCGCCACGAGGGTCGAGTTTTGTCAAACGAAGGTCTGCACTGGAGTGATGGAGCGCGTCGGGGAGCCCGCCCGTTCGGAGGAAGAGGAGGCCGAGCGATTGGTCACCTCTCGCTGCAACTCGTCAACTCTCTTCTGCAGCTCAGCGCGCTTCGCCAGCAGCTCCTTGTAGCGCTGATGGACAGGTTCCTGAACAAAACAAAAAGCCGGTGTGTAAAGCTCGAGTTCAAACTGTTTCCTTTGACAACAATGAGGCTCTTTAACATACTTGAGGTCTCATGCGAGGGTTCCAGCGGATGTAGTAGCCAACCCAAAGCTCCAGGTGACGTAAGCTGACTACAGGGAACAGCACATGGTTGGAATAGTTCACATACAGAGGATTGGTAAACTCCTCCAGCTGGCTGTTTATGTAGGACCACAACGACACTGTCCTCTTGGGAATTTCCTGTAAAATAAAAAGGTATGGTTGTCATGACGCTAAATGCACAACAAATCTCCATATTACTACTGACTTTCTACACCCTGCTCTCTCCAGTATTTCACTATTTCTCATTTTACAACAACTGCAATCGTAACTTACTTCTTTCAGCCTCTGTTGTTCGCTGTTGCACAAGAACGTTCCAAACAGGCAGCTGTACAGGTGGTCCAGGATGGTGACCAGGAAGTATTCGTTAAACTCAAAAGCTGCAGGGAACTTAAATAATAACAGCTTCATTAGCGTCCTTGTAAGACAGTGTTATCCTGAAGAATCTTTCCACATTATCACTTACTGCTTACCTGGCGAGTCAACTGCCAGACGCAGTCAATGAACTGAATGAAAACAGGTGAGCGATCTGCATCTGTGTGGTTCTTATCGCCATGTCCGATACGCTTTAAGAAACAACCGAAGAAGAGGGGACGATCAGTGATGCAACCGGACAGGGCCACCACACCTTACGTGGTTTCTAAAAACATTAAAAGTGTAGGAAAGTTTGTTTACCAACTGGAAGCGGTGACCGAAGCTCAGCCACTCTTTCTCAAGCAGCACCTCAAAGCCGCGGATGGTGCGGTAGTAACCGTCCAGCATGAGCATGGCCAAAGAGGTGAGCTGGCCTGTTCGGTCCCAGCCGTCGCTGCAGTGCACCACCACCGACGTTTTCCCAGACTCCACTTTGTCTGCGATCCGCAGTGCTGCTGCCAGGATCAGCTACACACACACACACACACACACACACAACTTGGTCTTTTACCTCATTCGTCATTCCTCGTCTGCAATCACAGGGATGCATCATCACGCTCACCTTGATGTGCTCGAGCCAATGAGTGGACTCAAGATTAGAGAGCCAGTGGGAGTCCTCAATGTTGGGGTAGACCACGTCCTTCAGCTTGCGGAGCGACTCTCTCATCACGTGGATATTGTGAATATCCAAGAACACCAGCTCAGCATTTTGATACGCGTCCTCACTTTCATAACCGCCCCCTTTCATCTGAGGAAAAAAAAAAAAAAAAACACAAAACAAGTGGAGATGTGGTGAGTGAAGGTGAAGGTGAGTAGTAAGTTAAGTAAATACTATATTAAGGAAGTTTCCTGCTAAACCTTGTTGGCAGCGGCATTGACACTGGGTCTGGCATCAAAAATGAAGAGTTTATGGGACTGAGCATTAGCATCCATGATCGCCTGGAGGTATTTCTCATCCTCTTTGCTGCGCTTCCCGTTTACCCCAACCATGGGCTGACTGCAGCGCGTCACTGTCGCCTGGCTCTCTGGATGGATCCATGACAACACCTACACACAGAGAATAACAGAATATTACCACAGACAATCCAACAACACAGCTGCACGGGAGAGGAACACTGGATTCAGGCTGAAGACTCACAGGTATCCTTCCTTTTGCCCGGAAGGCAGCCACTCTCTTCAGCTCTTCTTCCGGTATGTTGACAGGCACCACCAGAGTTGATGGGTAGGTGTCACAAACCTCGTAGTGATCGTTTACTTTTGTTATCCTCCAGCTTTCGTTGGGTATACCCTTC